TATTATGTTGAGTGTAGATATAGTTACTGCGTGTTCACGTTAGTTTAAACCCTCCATGTAAAAAGAATACCGGAATTCGCATTTTGAATATTTAAAAGCACGTGAGAACTTGACACGGACGGGAAAGTGAGCTGCGATCTACCATCACGGCGGGTAAGGTGATGGTTATTACTATCAAGTATTGTACACCTAACGTAGTATCCCAACATTACACGGCGCTGTTTTGTATCAGTCTCTGTCATGGGTTTGTTCAGTATTCAGGTTCTTTGAAATATGGGCAACATTCGGTGATAATATTGGTAAATAGGGACCGCTGGGTTCATGTCTGTTCCAAACCTAAATAACTTAAAACAATATCATAACTACTTAAATAAAAGTGTAAAGATAACTTAATTTGTGCTTAGGCGCAAAACTACGCAATGGGCTATCTGCATTGTGCCCACTTAGGGTATCGAACGCCGATATTAGCCCTGAAGCTAGCTGATGAGCCATCAACTAGCTATAAATTTACCAAGTTTGTTTTAAGGTTCGGCTTGTAGCAGTATAGATTTACCAAGTTTGTTTTAGGTGGTATAACCTGATTCATGTCACCGTGTACCTTAGGATATAACGTAACCCACACTTCTATGTACCGTAAGGTATAACCTGATTCATGTCACCGTGTACCTTAGGATATAACGTAACCCACACTTCTATGTACCGTAAGGTATTACCTGAATTATATCAACGTGTACCGTAGAATATAACGCAACGCACAATTCTACGTAGCGTGAAACCTAAACTAATCCACTTATTCCTTACTGTGTTGCGTGAAACCTGTTAGATATGTTAGATCATAATTTTTCGTGATTATTTATAAGTTTTGAATGTAGTTAGGTTTAAAGATAACTGTTCAGAACAAACAAACAAAAAAAAAGCTTTAATTATAATGTATGGTCAGCAAGTGTAAAGAATGTTGGTTTTGATATTGAATTGATTAATTGAGAATTCCGGGGAATGTCGAGCCTCATAAAGCATGCATGAAACAGCCTCTACACAAAGCGTGCTTTCCGGCAAGTCGGTTAATTAATTCGAGTTAGGCTATGGTTTCGATCACTGGTCTATTTATAATAGGTCCGCGCTCACAAGAAGACGAATTCTTGAAGAGCAGTGGAGAAGGAGGAAGGCATGAAAGGGGGGTGGGGGTCAGACAGTTCCAGACACGTGCATTCAAACCTTGGACAAAGACTACGGTATCTTCACTATTTCGTCATAAAACGTCTCCAGTATTTGTACGCAACACAGTGGACCCCCTAGTCTCCTAGCGTGTGTTTAGCAGCCAATGTGAGCTTCGAACGCTTTAATTTGGCCACTAAAGATGCTAGGAATGTGCTAAATTACCATTTAAATCCAGAGGGAACGGGCGTTCACTGGGTAATGATTAATTTGGTGAGAACACCAAAACAACTCTATATAATTTTGCCACGCTGGTTATGAGAAAATCGGGTCGCTATCAGTCACGTATCTGTACAAGCTGGTTTTATCGAAATCCACAACTTATGTTTGTCGAGATATACCAACAGTAGAAATTCTAGTTAAGTTATAAGTTAGTGTTTGTTTCTTTTCTCATACAAAACGGTTTAACTTTTACTGCTATATTTTGTAGTATTTAACACGATTATTAAACAAAGCATTCTAAATTATTGTTCCATCTATTGTGAAACAAAGCATTCTAATCATTGTTCCATCTATTGTGAAACAAAGCATCCAAAGTCGTTGTTTCATCTATTGTGAAACAAATCATTCTAAATCATTGTTCCATTTATTGTGAAACAAAGCATTATAAATCATTGTTCCATCTATTGTGAAACAAAGCATTCTAATCATTGTTCCATCTATTGTGAAACAAAGCATTCTAATCATTGTTCCATCTATTGTGAAACAAAGCATTCTAAATAGTGTTTCATCTGTTGTGAAACAATGATGTTTTCAAACAAATTTGATCTCCTTCTGTGTTTAATAACAGTCCTTTGTAGCTGTATGTTTATGATGAAACACGTTTTTTAAATTCAGGCTCAATGTTGTATGTTATTATCGGTAATTAGCTTTTGAATTGAGAAGTGACAACAAAAACAAATATTAAAAAAACACCTGAGAAACAAAAGATGGAATTCATTTGGCCGTTTCGATCAGTGACTCTCAAGAACAATATACCATCTCAACTAATAGAGCAAACTGAATGTTTACCTTTCCAGGCGAGCTGGTCTCCAACCAATTCCCACTTTTCATTTACTGGCACTGAGTACCTGTTAATTTACTCCGTCGTTTTTACTACGAGTTGTCTTACCCCTAGAGACTGGGCTCCCACTGAGAGCAGCAGGCGTTACACATGTTCGGAGTGTACAAACAAACACCTTACAAAAATGCTCTGTTCAGCTGTACTGACAATTTAATATGCAATGGCTTCCTGTCACTGAATACATTAATTATCGAAGCCATTTCTAGTAGCAGAGAAAGTAATAACTTTTTAGCGGAGTTACTCTAACTAAACACTTCATTATAAAGTTGCATTTGCTATTTTAAACTATTTACTCTATGTATCTATATAAAACTATACAGAAAATAGAATTCCATAGTTTGTGTTAGTCTCTTTATATTAAAATATAGTTGGGCTCATATAGCATTATCGAGTCACCGTAGTTTTGGTTTAAAGCACACCCTGTAGCAGTATATACTTAACCGAGTTCAAGATCACATTGTAGCAGGACATATTCAATCACGTTGTAGCAGGACATATTCAATCACGTCGTAGCAGGACATATTCAATCACGTTGTAGCAGGACATGTTCAATCACATTGTAGCAGGACATATTCAATCACGTTGTAGCAGGACATATTCAATTATTGTAATAGTAATATACAGTAACCAAGCTCATGTTACATTTGTCTTGTAGCAGTTTAGGATTCATAAGGTTTTTTAACCACATCTTGTAGCAGTATAAATTTACCAAGTTTGTTTTAAGGTTCGGCTTGTAGCAGTATAAATTTACCAAGTTTGTTTTAAGGTTCGGCTTGTAGCAGTATAAATTTACCAAGTTTGTTTTAAGGTTTGTCTTGTAACAGTATAAATATACCAAGTTCGTTGTAAGGTTCGGCTTGTAGCAGTATAAATTTACCAAGTTTGTTTTAAGGTTTGTCTTGTAACAGTATAAATATACCAAGTTCGTTGTAAGGTTCGGCTTGTAGCAGTATAAATTTACCAAGTTCGTTGTAAGGTTCGGCTTGTAGCAGTATAAATTTATCAAGTTTGTTTTAAGATTTGTTTTGTAGCAGTATAGATTTACCAAGTTCGTTGTAAGGTTTGTACGTAGCAGTATAAATTTACCAAGTTCGTTGTAAGGTTCGGCTTGTAGCAGTATTAACGTAACCCACACTTCTATGTACCGTAAGGTATAACCTGATTCATGTCACCGTGTACCTTAGGATATAACGTAACCCACACTTCTATGTACCGTAAAACATGTTTCCACTTTCCCAGATTAATTTAACACTATATATCTCACATCATTACATTCACTCCTTAGGATATTGTTCTCCTAACATCCTTCTTCCCGTGTTTTAACTAAGATGTCATTTTTTGCTCCTGTAGTGTATGAATTATATATATAAAAGTTTCACTCTACTCTAACTGTGGTAAATTACTACTGGAGAACAACGGTGTGGAAACATGGCACCGTTGTTCTCCAGTAGTAATTTACCACAGTTAGAGTAGAGTGAAACTTTTATATATATAATTACGTACAAATAATGGATGAACGATTGTTGTCTCTATTCAAGAAATATATCAACCAGTTTCTCGCAGCTTAAATATACACAAGCTTACTTGATTAATGTCGTGAAGATGTGCACAGAAACATCTAATGACGTAACACAGCAAGTTGTGATCTATAAGGTTAACTACGTAATGACGTAACATGGCAAATTATGATCTATAAGGTTAACTATGTAATGACGTAACATGGCAAATTATGATCTATAAGGTTAACTATTTAATGACTTAACATGGCAAGTTGTGATCTATAAGGTTATCTATTTAATGACGTAACACGGCAAGTTGTGATCTATAAGGTTAACTATGTAATGATGTAACACGGCAAGTTATGATCTATAATGTTAAGTATTTAATGATGTAACACGGCAAGTTATGATCTATAAGGTTAAGTATTTAGTGATGTAACACGGCAAGTTATGATCTATAATATTAAGTATTTAATGATGTAAAACGGCAAGTTATGATCTGTAAGGTTAACTATGTAATGATTAGGATTAGTTACACTGGTAAATCAAGCTGGAGAAGGTAGAACATCATCAAGTAATATCCACTGGATATCTGAATACAATCTAGAGAAACCTAAAAATATTTTCAATGAAGATTTACATCTCATTTTTCAAATAACGAAGTACAAACAACGTTAGAACAGAAGAAATATGGGGTTCTGTAGAAATATTTATCTCATCGTAAAAAAATATATATAGATGAACTCTTTTAAGTTCTATATATTCCGTTAATATTTATTTTTCGAAAATTATTACTATTTATAGGTGTGAAAGATATTAATATCTATAGGTGGGTTAAAGCACTGCGAGAACAAAGAGGTAAAGATATTTTTAGTAAAACAAATGGTTGTTGGTTAGTATTGTTACATTTATGATGAACTGGTTGTGATGGTTGAGTAAGAACTGTTAAAGTGTGGTGAGTGTGGCTCGAGTATTATAATGATTACATTATTGGTTGTTGTTGGTTAGTATTGTTACATTTATGATGAACTGGTTGTGATGGTTGAGTAAGAACTGTTAAAGTGTGGTGAGTGTGGCTCGAGTATTATAATGATTACATTATTGGTTGTTGTTAGTTAGTATTGTTACATTTATGAGGAACTGGTTGTGATGGTTGAGTAAGGACTGTTTAAAATAAATTATCCATGATTATAACTGTCTCCAAGACAACTGTAAGGACGTACCTGTGTCTTCGTTTCTTCTTCTTTTTTTTGTTCATATTGATCAGATCTTCATTACTGCTGCCATAACTTCCGTGGTCGGGAGAAAACCCTGCCAACGTAGAGACTAATTAATTCAGTTATAATACTCATATCACTCATTATTAGTCAAATTACAGTAAAGAAAACGCTAGGATTAGGTTGATTTATTTCCTAGTTTTTACTAACATGAGCCAACTGTGTAACACAGTAGAGAGAGAGATCTATTCAGCCTGTCTGTTAATTCTATATAAAATGATAATTGAATTTATTTAACATTAGATGTTCTTTTGCTGAACACGTTAATTTACATCAAAGCTGAAAATTTATCAACGGATAAAAAAAATCTTCCTCGCACAATATTAATCTAGAAATTCACGTAGAGTTAAGCTTGAAAGTGGAGAAAGACATCTTCCTCACGTAGTGCTAAGCTTAAGAGCAGAGAGGACATCTTCTTTACGTAGTGTTAAGTTTAACAGTGAAAAAAAGACACCTTTCTCACGTAGTGTTAAGCTAGAAAATGGGGAAAGACATCTTCCTCACGTAGTGTTAAGCTAGACAGTGGAGAAAGACATCTTTCTCACGTAGTTTTAAGCTAGACAGTGGAGAAAGACATCTTTCTCACGTAGTGTTAAGCTAGAAAATGGGGAAAGACATCTTCCTCACGTGGTGTTAAGCTAGACAGTGGAGAAAGACATCTTTCTCACGTAGTGTTAAGCTATACAGTAGAAAAACACACCTTCCTCACGTAGTGTTAAGCTAGACAGTGGAAAGAATCTTCCTCAGATAGTTATAAACCTCAGAACAGTTTTAACACTTTAGCTCCACCTGGTACCACATTATCAGGTCTTTGTTTGCAATATTAAAGAAACAAGAGGAATGTAATTATATTGATTATAATATTAAGACAATTTTCCTCTACGTTTTTCATGATGATATGCTGATTTTTGTCTATCTTGATAACATTTTGCTTGAGCAAAAAAACTATACGAAAATGGACTTGAAACAACTTTGCCTATGTTAAATATTTCTTCTTTTCTTTCATCTCTTCTAGCGCATGCACAAAATTATGTCCATTCTTTCTTTTTGAAACGTGGTGACTTACTAATGGATTCTTAATTTAATTATCGTAACTTTTCAGTGCTGGCGGCGACGCGTGCGAGCGGAGCTAATAGGAACGCGTTCTTGCATGGCTGGCGTGGCGGGTAGGCCTGCGTTTGTGCTGCCCACGTTTTTCTAAACATAAGAAAACTTGGACTTTCTCGGAACATCAGAAAGTTACTCCTGACTGTCTGAATATGAAGGGGATTCATAAACCTCTAGTTTCAACTGTAAATACGAACTGAAAAACTAACCTAACGGTCTGACTTATGTATATAACTGCAAAACGACTTAATTGTATATGGAGTCGTTAAATACCAACATTTATGTTTAAATTGATGCTAAAATACTTGAACTATGAAATAACGGAACTTGAAAGTCAAAAAGATGTGGCTTGATAGACAGACAGATAAATAGGCAGATAGGTTTCCAGCACTGAATATGTTATTATTTTTTAAAAAACTACAAATTAGACTATTTGAACAGGTGGAATTTTTCTATTATTGAAATCCCTTGGTAGTAAGAACTTTTACTGATGTCAATAGGACTTCTCTTATTCAAGCGAATCAATTTGCGGCACTAAACCATTGAATGTGGCCCAAGTTAGGCCAATCGGATCAGGTTTTCTTTGTAGCATAAAATGGTTCCTAGTTGGAAGCCGAATCGTTCCGCTGAGAGGATTACGAGAGCTCAATATCTACTAAACTATCCGTTCAGCCATTCACTGATTGCCTGTTAATCTGCAGTCTCCTGTTACACTGTGGACACTAGAGACTAGATCCTTCTATTGGATGGGAATACCTGACACCGAACTGGTTCTTCTTTCAAGAATGTCGAAGTAACAATAGTAGATGTGAACAACCAATTTTTCATTGTTACACTTGTGTGTTGATCTCGAATGGAACATTTAGGACACGCTCCCGTTGAGAAATGAACACGAGATGATGAAATGAGTTAATTCATCAGCTTAAGGGGATCGATTTCGTGGCTGGTACACGTTTAAAAACCGCTACTTAACTGCATCCGTTGAAGTGCTGATGAAAACTAGAGATTAACCGCTTTGTTTGGAGCCTTGTATTTTATTATGTGCTTGTATTCGAGATGTCTGTACAACACGGACAGCGTGTACGTATTGTGTGTATTAACGAACAAAACCAATAGCGTAATCATTATAATACTCGAGCCACACTCACGACACTTTAACAGTTCTTACTCAACCATCACAACCAGTTCCTCATAAATGTAACAATACTAACCAACAACAACCAATAGTGTAATCATTATAATACTCGAGCCACACTTTAACAGTTCTTACTCAACCATCACAACCAGTTCATCTAAATGTAACAATAGCAACCAACAACAAC